TGCTCACGTTCATTCAGGACCGGCAGAAGATATCCTGATACTTGTACTAATCATTATACCTGAAGCGTGAGCTCGCTCTAAATCATCTCAGACCATATGCTCAGTCAAAACCTGCCCAAAACTCAATTTTCCCTACATCATTTAAAATATTAATTTTATTTAATAAATAAATTAATAAATAAATTATTTTATTTAAATAGCACAAAGTTTTGTTGATATGTACATTAAGTAAAACAAGGATAGATTTCAATTTAGTGTTTAGTGCCTAATTCAATTAAGCAAATAATCATGCGATTTTAGCGGGCAGTTTATTATTTCCGCTACCTTAATTACCACCACGCATATCTGCATCTACACGGGCATCAACGGCCTGACCCTGTAGTAAGGAGCCTCAGTCACTCCTTTGTTAACTGCGCCTTTCCAGAAAGATTTAATCTCGCCAGATGATGATAGATAAGGTTCCAATTCCACCATGACCTTTCAAACTCCGTTAACTGTTAAGATTAAATAACAAACTTGCTGTCCTACCTGGGCCTTATGCCAGGATCGTTATCTTGATGATTGGGCATTACCCAGTAGTTTGCATTAATTGTACATAAATGATGCCTGATAGGTCATCTGATAGGTACTGCAATAAAACAGAAAAATCTCCTGGAATCCTGAGGTGGGCCAAGAGATCATGCTGAGCTTACTGTTGAGAGGAGAGGTCTTAAGAACTATATCTAGAAGATATTTTTCCCTCCTTGAGAGCATATGTAAACTGTCAGGTTGTTTTTAGACGCTCATACCTCTTCCCATGATCTTATAAAAATTCATCTGACCACACATGATCATTTCTTATTTTAAATGGTCATTTGACGGGAAATAACACAAGAAAAACAAGAAATAAGTAATGATGTAGGCAGCTAGCGGTCAGGGCACCCACCTGCGTGTCTTGGCAAAAGCAGGGAGGGCCACAACACTCCGGTGTGCCAGGAAACAAAGAGCCACTCTCCTGCCGCACAAGCACATAATTAGGGTTAGCAGGTGGAGAAATTTCCCTGCTGACTGGAGACATCAGCTGCTCGACAGAGCAAAAGGACAAGGCATCATCTGCCAGTTCTCAAAAAATATATAATAACACTTATAGGCAAGACAGCAAAGTCTGCAGTCCGCGACAGGTGATTAATAATGATTAATAATGTTCACAAAGCCTTGTCAGTTTCCTTCAGACGGCCCCGTACTCCAGGGGCAAGTCAGCGGTTAGGAGCCCAGATGATAGAGGAAGGTTTCAGGGTCCCTGTTATATAGTATCTTAACTGTTCATGCTTCAGAGGCTCTGCTATACCTCCTGCCAGCTGTCAGAGAGCAGACAGCAGTCCCAGGGGCCACAGCTCAGGGAGAGCAGCATGTGTTTGGAGGATCTATGGCCAGAAATGCTGCCTGCAAACCAGACCGAAGAGAATTTCCAGTGATTTGACTCCCACCCTTAAATCTTTAAATACGGCGAACCAGCAGACTGTGACACCTTCTGGTGAACACAGCATTACATGAAAAACATTCCCCTGCTTTAACACTCAGTTTATGGGTGGCAAGTGTTTTGAAAGCATCACTGAAAAGACCACTTGGGGGCGGTAGAAGCTTTGCTGATGCTTAGCTGATGCTTATCACCTCAATAACAAGCAAATAACTATCTGCTGTGATCCCACAGAGGCAGCAGACATAATTTCCCAGAATGCATGGCTTCATCAAGTGCTGGAGCATGGGGGGGTAAGTATGGCTACCCAGGACATCGCCCCCCAGTGCAGAAAAATATGCCGATATCAGCTTGAAGCAACTTTAATTTTTATTTTCTTATTTCTTGTAGGTGTGTCTTCATGTCATTATATAGTATTTATATATTTTATACTTTAAAAGGCTATTGGTGAGTTGGAGTGGTGGCTCTGAGGTTAGGGCTCAAAGTGGTGGTGGCTCTGAGGTTGTTGGTTCAAATCCCATAAATGGCTAGAGTGATTCTACTCCTTCAAAGCCCTTGAGCATGACCCTTAAGCTGCAATTGCTTTGTCTTGGGTATGATGTTAATCTACATCCAGCCCTATAAAGAGGTCCTCCAACTTACAGGGAGTACCAAGGGATGAGATTGGCACTCCAACCACCTGCTGAAGTCTCATGGCTGCACTCTTGTGGTGGTTGTGGCAATGCCCCGTAACCAGTGTATGCTCCTTATCTCTCTCCTCCATGGAATGTTATATATCTTACTATGTATGTAATTTTTGTTAATTAATGCTTTCTAAACTGGAAATCACTTTCGGTCTGTTGTTTTTAAATGTGCTACAGTATATAAATAAATGACTTGACTTGACTAGATGTCAAAAAATACAGCGGTATGTATTAATGTACTGCAGGGATGTGAAACTATAGTCCTGGAGCTTAGTTCTTTCCCTGTTCCACCATAAATGTTTCAGCTTAAGAGCTGTGTGGCAATTAGTACAAGGAGTTGAATCAGGCGTGTTAAATGAGGGGAAACACAAAAATGCGTAGGGCTCTGGCCCCCCGGACTGCAGTTTGACACCCCTGATGTACTGTTATTGCAAATAAACATACAGATGTTTATCCATAATTAAGGGGCACTTTGCTGTTGACAATCAAAAGCAAACATCTTAAAGTACAAAAATGGTTACACATCTGTCTGAAAGCAGATGATGTTGAATGAAATGGGAAAATTACTTTTAGCTGATATGTAGCCACTAAACATCATACTGGGTCTGCAGGAGGCGAATGTGCGTCCAAAATTCATGAGGGCAACCGTACACCTGCTGTTAATCGCACCCAGGGCCTGAGGGGAGTCACCTGATAGCAGAGAGACACTTTGTAAATCCTGCAGGACCAGTGCCTGCTTCACAGCAGCATTTTACACACACATGACATGAGAACAAACGTGATGTCCTTTCTCATAACATACATGTATAAAAACAGAGTCCTATAAGTGACATCGTGGACGTCCTCGTGGTGGAAGCCTGACGCCCAACCTCACATCCAGCTGCAGATAAGATCAGAATCTGCTTTCCCTTCTGAAATGACCCTCCTTTGTTTTAGTCCCTCCATCTCTACTGCTGTCTCTAGGTAAGTGTTCCCAATCCTTTCTCCCATTCCAGTGTCACACTCCATCCTGCCTGAAAGATAATTCACTTTCAGTTTTTAAATGCAAATATCTGGTGGGTTTACCCTAAATGCCTTGCTTATAGGTACCTGCTGGTTCTCCTTACAAGGTCACGTCTTTGGTGACTACATAACCTGTTAGGTAATGAGCTCTGACCCTTTCAATGGCCACTGCCAAGCAGCAGTACTAGCAGGCAGAGGTGGAAAGTTCAGGTCCAGAAAGTACAAATCCAGACCAAGGTTTTGTTTCAACCAACCAGCTGAGTACTATGTGACTGTGACTCTTAATACTCAGCTTGTTGGTGAAACAAAACCTTAGTCTGGATTTGTACTTTCTGGACCTGAACTTTCCATCTCTGCTAGCAGGCGGATTTCCTCTGCTTCATGTTCTACTCATACTACTCTACACATCCTCTCAATTTAAAGTAAACCCGGTTCTACCCTGAGGTTGTCCAACAGCCAGGCAGGATAACCATGAGAACCTGAAGGACTCACTAATCAATGACTGCATCCCAAACCCTCCCAGTCCCCAATCCAAGGCATCAGCCAAGCATCAGCCTGGTTTAAGGTTCTCCACCATATCAGGATCATTCAGAGAGGTTGGTAAACATGAAAGGAAAAGTTCTAGACTTTGTACAAATGCACCCCAAGTGGCCTCTTCACTCGGACCCACAGACACCACAGTGCTCCAATCTGATTGGCTGGACTGACTAAATACTTCCAACCTTTAGATTATTATTGGTATTTAAAAGGGACATATTTCAGTGATGAACTTTTTTCTCTAAACTAAAAAGAAATTGGTTATGCCAGAACTATTCCAGAATGGAAAACAAGTCAAATTTATATCAGAGGTTCTCAGTTCCATTCCACAATTTCTGGCAACTTAGCAGAAGAAATATTTTTTATCAGAAAATGAATCATATAGTTCATAGCTCAGGGATGGAAACCTAATTAAATAAAGCATTAAATAATGTATAAAGAAATTTGCTACTTAATTAATCATGGTCAATTAGCATTGTGCTACTCCCAGCTATAATGAAAACTTCAACACACTGTCAATGACTATGACTTGCCCTGGAGTAACAAGACAGCAGCAGGGAGGGTGTTCAGGGTTTATAAGTTACTGTGGATTCCCCTAACTGAGAGCTCATAACCAATGAGAGAAAGAATAATGCAGCAAGATTTATTTCTATTCACGTGCCGGTCTGGTGTTCGCACTGATCAATAATGGCATTAATGAACCGTCAAAATAAATCAAATTGTCAAGCTAGTGACAGCTACAAAATGATCCTTCACAATAAATAAATAACCAATAGACCCAGTCAGTAGCCCCCAAAGCTCCACCATTAACCCACCTGAAACCAGCAGTCCCAGATCAGTGGTGGTTTTGGGAAGAACAACTTCTGCTAAATGACTGGGGCCCTAAAAATATTTTTGAACATTTGGACTGATCTAGGTTGGGGGCTAAATATGATATGCGTTCATGGGGCTGAGAATTTCTAGCAGTACCCCTGCACTACAGTAACAGACCTCAGAGTAGTCCTGTTTCTCAACAGCTTCTATTCGGTAGTTGATTGGAAATGAATGACGTTTGAAAATGTTGAATATGACCCGCATGTCTCATCTAGCCTTTGTGTGTGTGTGTGTGTGTGTGTGTGTACAGACATTTACCCCAAGTCACTGCGACCTCAGCTCATAATAAAGGTATTTTACGGGTGCATGGCATCGCCTGCTGTGAATTTACATATTACACAAACCAAACAAACATAAAATTTCAGTCAAATTCACTGATGTAACCCACAGAAATCCTAGACAAGTGGGTGAAGATTTGCTTTTGTTTGTGGAATGAGACATCAGAACAGTGAATGATAAAAGTTTCGCGTTTTATTTATTCATTACATCGTGATCATTTACATCATGTATTCACGAAATCTGCCAGTGTTTTTAATGGGTAACGGGAAAACGACATGTCTTGCAGCAAGCGGTGCACATTAAAGCGGTAATCAATGAGTGACAAAGTAGGATTAAACTTTATATAGTCGTGCAATGACAAACCTGCGAGGCACAGTTACTAATTTAATACCTCCATCTATCAGCCTGGCAAAATCCGTTACATTAACTTATCCTTAAATTCTCTAAAATAGTAAATTTTTATACAAAAGAAATACATTATATATATATATATTTTTTTAAATTAGTGCAAGTTTGGACAAAAATGTTAAAGCAAATGTCTCCTGTTGTGCAATTTGTCAACAAAATTACAACATAAACAAACACGGGGTGAAGAGAAAAAAACAAAAAAACTGTACAATCCTGAAACGATGATTTTCTACAGTGTCATGGTTTTGATTTACATTTTACATCATTCAAGGTTGCGATTTTAGTAGGAGGAAATGACTGAACTGATGACGGACAAACAGTGAAATATGATCGACTGTGATCATTCAAAAATCACCTCTGAGTTGCAAACATGTTAGGGAAGCACAATCCGCAATGGAGGTTCGGGGGAGACATAAGCAAGACATTAACAGAAACATGAGTTTTAGAAAGAGCCACATAATCTCATAACAGTAATGTGATTTACATACCCTGACATTTTTTGGCTGTGAATAAGAATCGTAAGAGAGAAACCGTAGGGAAAGTCAGGTGCCTGGTTTACGGCATGGAGGTCTCAGTGGGAAGTGAAACCTGTCTTGCCCAGAAAGAGCCCTGCTAGCATTCAGGAGCTTGCAGTTCATTTAAGCTGAACAAAGTGGATACAGGATGCAGGCTTCCTAGATGGGGATTCGCAGGGATTCAGAGCCACATCTTTCAGAACCATTCAAGCTCCGCCTCTCCGCCTGGTCACCTGTATAAAGCGGCTGAAGTAGCTACAGGGTGAGTGTCAGAGTCAGCCCACACTATGGCTGCAGGATGGACTGAGTGGTTAATCAGCATCACTGCAGTCGGGCTGAACTCGGAGCCCGGCGGAGACGCAGAACTCAGATCCCAGGGCTCGGGTGTCGCAAATTCCCTCTCGGATATCCTGCCCCCAAAATCATTACAGAGGAAGATTTCTGCAAGTCAATTCCTGAGATTGGTCACTCTGGGGTCAGGTCATGTGGTGTGATGATAAAAATAAATAAGGAAAACTGAGAGCAAAACATGAACAAAACAGAAAAATACAAAATCTTTATTAGATTAAACACGGTAACAGAAATGTTCAAATGAATGGAATAAAAAAATCCAGTGAGAAATAAAGTGCGAACCAAAGAATGAGGTCACTCCCCAAAGTGACAAACATATTCAATGGCAAACAAGCCTGCTTACAGTGATGGGGAGCGACTGAGCCCGGACTTTCAGTTCCTCTCTACCGTCGCTGAATCACTTCATCATGTCAAATGAGGCCAGCGGAAGGATATTCTGCACAGATATTGAAGGGGTCAATTCATTTCGACCGGATATTTTAGATACCATTGAATTTGAAGGTCAGCATAATCCTCCACCAGCAAATTTAAAACACAAATCATGGAATCACTGAGAGAAACGGCAAATGAGCAGTTATGCATCACCCGATGCAGCTCCATCAGGAAGGATGGAGAAGCGAAGGAGAGAAAGGAGGGGGAAAAAAGATTGGGGGGGGGGGCATCCAGCTCTCCATGGAGAAGAAACCCAGAGTGCGTCAGACCATATGGGGGGGATGGGGGGGGGCATCTGTGGTGAAAGGAAGCTTCCAGATGAGAGAGGTGGAGTGTCTCAGGCAGGTGCGGAGATCAAATGGCATTGTGGGGGAGCGGGGGGGGGGGGCATCTGTACACAAACTGCTGTACCTGTCTGAATAGAGCGGGAAGAACAGGGCAGGGCATTCAGTCAGACACTGTACACTCGTTAGCGCTCGTCGTTTTCTACAGAAATCATCTCTCACACAAAGATCATTTAAAAAAAAAAGCGAGGAGAGAAATCTGTTCAGCCAACAGGAGCGAAAGTATCATTTTAAGGATGTGTGTTGCCCCCTTGTGGCCGCACATCGAAACGTAATTGAATCGTGCAATTTCGTGGCCCCTAATGACAATAAAGTGAAAGTATTGTATCTGTACATTTTCTTGGTCTCCTAATTCCACTTACAATGCAACCAAGGACTAAACGCTGGTCAGCCTGCCAGCACTCAGCACTGAAGCCTTGATATGAAATCAGCACATAACAACAGGAAGCAGGGAGCTTCCGAGGAAGCAACGTTCCCGCGAAAATGCGAATGAGGGGCACGTGTCCCAGACGGCCTCCACCAACACGCAGCCTGGGGGTCAGAAACCGGGCCGAGGAACGTGACGCTCAGCTAAGCTAACTAACATGCTACCGCCATGTTCTCAAAATGACAAGCCATCTTGAATCTAATGTGATTGAGTGACGTCTGGCACGGGGCAATACCGCAGGGCATCAGCAGGGGGCAGTGCTACGCCTTCCCTCTGAAGATCCTCGTGTTTGCATGCGGATGGGGGACAGACGGACCCCTCGATGACGGGATGGGGCTGAGCTTACCCTTTCGCCTACTTCTTGTTTTGGCAGCACAGTCCTCCTCCACCCCCGCGGATGCCGTTATTGATCACCTGGCCGGACACTGGGTGTTGCCCCGGGCGGATGGGCTTGGCTGGGGGAAGGACGGTGTGTCACATGTCTATGCTTTAAAGCTACAGCGTTTAGGGCTGTAAATGTCACACCGCACAGCACGGCCCCCTCACCAATCTGCGCGGAGTGCCCCCTCCTGGCCATGTTCTTGGCGCGCACGGCCTCCTTGATGCGCTCCACCTCCTGCTGGTAGCGCTTGCGATCCCGTGCCGCGTTCTCCTTGGCCTCCTTCAGGGCCGACTCCAGCGCCTTGACCCGCTCGGCTGTGGCGCGCAGACGCTTCTCCAGTTTGGGCAGCTCGCAGCGCAGGTCTGCGTTGTCACGCACCAGCTAGGGTGGGGGGTGGAGAGAGGGTACAGCTGGGCACGGGATAGAGCTGCATCTCCATCATATGATGACACAGGCAGGTGACCCACATTCATAAAGCACAGATTCTTTTCAAAGACGGTTTGACACATACTCCCCCCCTCCAATCAGACGCTTCCAGAAGGTCACATGCTTAGTTTTAGCTGAATATGGAAACAGACCAAAGCCTCTATACTGGATACTAGATAGATCCTGGCCATCAAAGCCCACAAATGGCCAGCAAGGTTCCTCATTACCTGCTTGTGGACCTTGGTCAGCTGCTCCAGGTTGTTCTCCAGGAAAGAGATCTTCTGCTTCTGGGCCGCACTGCCACCAGCATCATCACAGTCCAGCTCAGAGCTCTGTGGGGGGGGCAGGCGGTTGCAGGTTTGAGTATTTTACATCCTATTGTGCTGTTCATTGGTAATCTCTGCTAATAAATACCCACTAAAGTTTATTTTAATGCTTATATTTCATGTTGCTGTTCATTGGCTGCCTGAGAGCTAGAGGTGGATATTCGATTGGCTGATCCACGAGACGTGGGAGCATGATCATCCCGTAGGCCTGGAGTGTGACAAGGGGTGACTCGCCTTCTTCACGCGAGTCGTAAGGTCCTGGACAAAGAGCCTGCGCAGGTTGTGGAGGGTCTGCAGCTCCCGGGCCTGTCGAAAACACACACAGACACAGACAGGCAGTGACACACAGACAGGCAGGCAGTGACAGACAGACACAGAGAGAGAAATGGTGGACACATTCTCCCATTACAGCTCATGCTTCACTGCTCTGCTTTGGCCCATAGAGGTCACACCCAAGATGATGATACACAGGGCAACTCAACTCAAAGGGCAACTGAAGTGGATCTCATTGTGAAAAGTTGCCCACTGCCAATCAAAGGTTTTCAAATATGAATTTGTTTCCTAATATCAATGGGAACGTGCCTGAGCAACATTTGTCAAAATTGATACGCCCACCTTCCAGAAGACTGATCCAGAAACAGAGTATGAACAGACAAGGGTCATCCAGGAGGTGCCTTTATAACAAAGCATGATGGGAAGGCTGCAGACACATACCACCGTCTCCTCGAGGCCTCGGAGGTCTTGGGTGGCCTGCTCCTTCTTCTCGTTGAACATCCTGGCAGAGGATAAGGTCAAGGCTGTTGGCGGGGATCATAAGCCCAGGGCTCCCCCTCACTTTACGACCATATGACAGTACCTGGCACGTTCCTGACACAGGCTTTACCTGCCAACCTCCAAATCACACAGAAAAGTACCCCAACAGCAAGCTGGTAGCTCAGTGGGTAGCCGTGTCACCTGGTAACTATAGGGTTGGGGGTTCAAATCCCATCCCACTGTGTGCCAATTCAGTATGTTCTCCTAGGGTCATGCAGGTTCTTCTCTAGGTATGCTGGCTTATGCTCACAGTCCAGGTACATGCAGCCAGCTAACCCGTCAGTACTAACGTGTGCATGTGCTGTGTGCTCCCTATCCTGCCTGGGATAGGATCCAGGGCGCCCCACGTCGGATAACTAGAGAACGTTCTTCTTCTGGGCCTGGGGACCTACATGAGGTCCTTCAGCTCGACTTCCTTCTCCTGCTCCTCAGCCTTGAGCTTCTCATAGTCGGTCTTCAGTTTGGTCTGCTCCAGCTGCAGCCCCTGGTTTAAGCTGAGGGTGAGAAAAATCCTGAGATGTCACAGAGCTGCAGGGCAACAGGGAATCACGGGGACCAGGGTGCTGAAGGTGTCTCACAGATCCTTCAGAAACAAGGCTTTTGTCGTGTCAAAGGAGGAATCAATTTGCACACTTTCTCTGTATTGTCATTAGGGGCCACGAAATTGCATGATTCAATTACGTTTCGATGTGCATCACAGTGTCTAAGCCATGTTGCACTACGTCGCCAACTGTGACTTTTACTGAGTGTTTGCGCGTAAATTGCCAATCGGAGCCGTCACGCCAAATCTCTTCCCCCGTCCCAATTCCTGCGACATTTCGCTCAGCTGTTTGGCTGATGAGGAAACTGTGATGATGCAGTTTCAAGGTACCCCGCAAGTTTCAAGATATCCTATATGTTTCAAGTTAACCCTTACTGCTGCAGCATGAGTCCACATCAATAAATGTTTTTTTAAGGTGTGTTTTTATTTGTCACTATTAAGAAATTACTTGCATTTAGCATGACAAGACATGATTTATTAGATTATTGATGTATATTTCGCTTGTAGCCAAATGTGCGGTTATAATCGATAAAACACATTGCTATCAAGCTAAATATACATTAATAATCTAATATAGCATGTTGGTTGTACTATAAACTTAAATGCAAATGATCTTTTAATAATAATTAATAAAAGCAGACTTTTTAAAAGAGCATTTGTAAAAGCATCTCACTGATGTGAACCAATGAAATATGTCGCTATGGAGCTAAATATACAGCTATAATTGATGAGTGAAATCGAGTGAAATATACATTAATAATCTAATAAAACGTGTCAGTTGCACTATAATGCTCAACGCAAATGATCTCTTAACAATAGTTAATAAAAAAAAAAAAAAACATTTGTAAATCCTATTTTATTGCTATGAACTCTTGCTGCAGTGCTAAGGGTGCCCAGCAAATAGCTCATGGAAGTTTTTCTTACACAAAAATATTCTGTAGGCAGAACAAAAAATGATTGGTTCAGAGGGATAACCAATCAGATTGTAGAGGAGGCAGGCCCAAGACATCTGACTGAAATTATATTTGTTAGAAATTTTGTGAAGTGTACTGTGCCGTGAGCTGACTGCATTGTTACACCCCTAACTGTCACATGACAGCATGAGACTGAGTCAGCCATCTGGCACCGTCCCCATCTGGCTCCACGCTCTTACTCCTTCAGCTCATCCAGCATCCGCTGCTTTTCCTCAATCTCGTCACGCAGTCGGCTCAGCTGCTTCTGGTGGGCCTCACGGTGGCTCTCCATTTGTTCCTCCAGTGCCCTCTGCAGGCAGGGAAGCAGCATGGCAGTGAGTGCACTACAGCAGGAAGGGCGTGTGGCCAGGGCTAAGCCCCCCGCAGGTGAGATCAGTGCCTTTTACTGTAAATGGTAATCAAGCTAAACTTAACAGAGGCAGGTGGTGTGTGTGGCTCGGGGGCTATGGATCTGCGCCTGGTTCTGTTCTAATCCACTGGCCGGCAAAGCCCTGAACCCCAACTGCTCCAAGGATACTGGATGCTCTCTGACCCAAAGCTTTCCTCAAAGAAAAAGCATCTTGGAAATAAACGACCATAAAGCTTTAATTAAAAAGCCAGTGAAAAATTAAATGCTACCTAACTGAAGATTGGCAAGGCCGACCCCTGCAGAACCACGGCCGGCTGCCCGGCTGGCGTACCTTAATCTCGGCAGCGTCCTGCATGCGGCTCACATGCTCCTTCTCCTTGTCCCTCACGGAGACCTCGTGCATCCTCTCTGCGGGAATAAGCCAAGAGCATCGCAGTGGCGTTCCACAAACATGTTTTTGAGCATTCCTCTGATGTTACGATCAAGTTACTGAGCATAATCCTACAAGGATCGCAAATGTTAGTGTGAATGTTACGATGGCATTGCAGTGAACGTTTCAATGGCATTATTGGGTGGCACCGAAATGTTCCAATCACCTCCAATCAAACATTACCGTAAATGCTACTGATGGCCAAATAAATCTTCATGAACCATTTGCTGTATTTTCAGACCCCACTAGATGGTGCTCTTGATTTGCTTTGGGGCATGCTTTGAGGATTTTTTTGAACAAAAGGCACCATCTATTAAGGTCAGAAAATACAGCATTCATTCGGCCATTATTAGTAAATGCTGCGATCACGTCATTGAGGGTTACCGTGAATATTAACTCTGCGTCCAAAACCTTAAGCAGAGCTCCGCACCCTTTTCACCCCGTCCAGCCACCCACATGTGTGGTTAGTCACCCAGGGTGCTACCTGAAAGACCCAGAAGTGGAGGTGGCAAGCAGGGCGGGCAGCATACGTACGCGGTGCGGGGGCCTCACCCTGCGCATGCAGCCTAGCCAGCTCCTCTGTCAGCGTGTCCTGGCTCTCCTCCAGCTGACGCCTCTTCTGCTCCACGTTCTGCATGTAGTCCGTCAGGGAGCGGATCTTGGCCTGGTGCTGCGTGTAGCAAACATTTCAAAATAGAGTGTGTCCCGGGCCCATTGGCTCCCAGTAAGAACATCAAATCCAAACAGACCCTAAAAGATGCTTTGATTGAGGAAATCACAATATGAAATCAGAGAATTTTTTGACCAATTCCTTGTGCACTAAACACTAAAATTACAAATTACTGCATGACAATTTGTGGCCACCTTATTGCACTACAGATTGCAACATAAATTCAACTCGTAAAAGTTTTTCCACCTCATCTAAACAGATTGAATTTGGCAAAAGGCACACAGCTAACTAGATGCTGTTGGAACGGCAATGTATTTCCCAGGCAGCTCCGACAGCCCCCCATCTAATGCCTCCTCCCCCTATGACCCCCCCACCCCTACAGTCTCTAGGCCCCTTACACACTGTCCCTAGCAGCTACTCTTCCCTTTGGTGTCACTAAACAATGAAGCTTTAATTTTGGTGCATTTTTTCCAAAATGAAATAGGTCCCAGGTCTTCACGTATATGATGTTCCTCTGAAGTTTGAAAAAGATCCATCAAATACCTTTGGTGTTACTTTCTTTTGCAGCTTCCCTTTCCTTCCTTTGCTGCCACACAGCACTGTTGCTTCAATTTTGGAGCAGTTTGTTTCAAAATATAATTAGGTGTAAATCTTTATCTGTATCATGTATGTGTGAAGTGGTAATAAGATGATCTGTCAAATACTTTTTGAGTTATCACACCAACAAGAAAGTGTCTGTTACTATGGCGGATCGGTCCCTAAACCATATGTATTCCCCATCCAAGTAACACAGTAAGTGTATAAATCCTGCCTTTAATTTAATCATTGTACATATCAAATGGCCCCCACCCACCACAAAGCAGCTACCTGGGAGATGAGAAGCTGACAGGCAGCCAGCTCCTTCTCATTGGCCTGAATCTTGCGGTTGGCATCAGCCTGGGCAGTCTCCAGCTGCTTGCCGCGGTTCACCAGTGACTTCACTTCTGACTTCATCTTACTGATGTAGAGACGGGCCACTGTGAATTCCTCCTCAATCACACCATTAGCCTCTGCCACCTGTAGTCATGGTGGGGGGGGTGGAGGGGGGTTCAGTCAAATGCTACAGGCTTCCATACCAGCACAGCAGCGCCATGCTAGGAGGGGGCCCACCGCTTTGATGTCATTGGTGCCGATGATGCCCCCAATCTCGCTCAGGTCCTTCATGAGCAGGCCCAGGACCTCAGCCGCCCGCTTCTTCTGATGACTGTTCAGCTCCTGAAGCTGGGTCAGCTCCCGCTGGGCAGTCTGCAGGCTCGCCTGCACAACATGCACCGCAGGCATGACACACGCATGACCATTTCAGATTGCAATCATATCACTATTCACAACATGCATCTACACACCCTTATAACTGGACCCATAGATATTAAAGTCAGGTGAGCTATGGCTTCTTCTGGTGATGGATTTTCTTCCCCATGATGCTATGTGTTTGACAGCCTTGCAGATCATCACCTCCACCATGGTCAGGCATGTGGAGTGTCTTGCCCTCTCGCCTCACAAAGGCCCCACCACTAGCCCTTGCCTGGTCCTGCAGCCTCTGGAGCCCCTACTGGCCAACCCACCGTCTTCTGTGCCAGCTCCTCCGCCAGCTGCTCGTTGGCCCGTGCCGTGTCCTCCACCTCCTGGCTCTTCTGGTCATAGTTCACCGCCAGCTCCTCCAGAGCCTGCAGCACCTCTTTCACCTCTTCCTTCGCCGCCTCGTTCTCCATCTGCAGCCGTGAAAGCTCCTCCTGGATTTTCTCATAGTCACGCCGCGTCGACGCCAGCAGCTGGACAAGCAGGGGGTGCAGGCATGGGGGGGCGGGGGGGTTAAACGGCTTATACTGCTCCCTGCCAGTCCAAATCCAATTCATACTTCACTATGTCATCAGTGTCATGTGGACCGTTTGCATGTGGCACAGATTTTGGGCCTAGGTGACTTTTTACGTCAGTACCTCGACTGCGCATGCGCAAGAAAACTGACATGGAGTTTCCAGTAGGTAGCAGCACTAGCTGTCACAGAGCAGAAGAGTAGTTGCTTTAGTTATTGATGCTTTTCATGAGCAGCTGAGCGACTAGGTACGGAGGTACCGGCGTTTATGTAGCTCATCATTCAAGGAGCACAAAGACATATTCCAGGTCACGAATTTGTGGAATGAAATCAGCCAAACACTGGGCAAAGAAAGGAATTCACTCAGACCATGAAGATCTACCCTCTGCTGGTGTGGTGTGTCAACTGCATCTGTATACACAGGCAAATACAGCACAGGAAATCGCAGTCCGCACAGACTATAATGGTAAACGGAAAAGTCAAGTGTGAACTTGGATTAAGGGTCTGCCACCGAGTCTGACAATGTAACATCACAACCACCAGATGGCAGCAAAGTCCCTGGTTGTTCACCAGATTGCACCCACAGGCTCTACACAGCTGCTTATTTTAGTGGGAAATTTGAAAACAAAAATAATATGTCTTAATCAGTGACACATTCTAGGAAAGCTGATGAGACTGTGGGCACCACTCAATGCAACATTCATTCATTCCTCTGGACTGTATGTAGGGATCCTATAACCAGGTTACTGGGTGTTTTGTCAATCAGTGCAATAACGACGACACTGTGCATCTTCGGCGATGAACAGTCACCTCCTCCTGATCCAGCATCTGCTGTTTCAGCTTCTCAGCCAGCTGACTCTGCTGGTTGATCTCGTCGTCCTGTAGGGAGGCCAGACAGACAGCGTTTCATGCAGCAACGCTCACCTGAAATTCCCGGCTCGCAGAGGTAATGCCCAAACACAGAGCGGAACGTGCTCCTGCACGGATCGGAGCACATGGACCGGTGGCAGCATCAGGGTGCTAATTAAGCACTTGTTAGCAGCTCATTAGCAGAAGTCTAACACCCCTGATGAAACAACATAATTAGATGATAATGATTAGCCATTGGCTAATTACTGGGAGGCGAATATGTGCATTTTTAATACACAAGCGGATAAATGTGTCAGGGTGCTTTTTTGATGTTCGGTGGGGTGGGGGGGGGCATGCACCAGACTATCGAGTTTCCAGATCAACCCGGAATTTCTGGCATCTGCTCTTCCTTACCTAGAGGCGGCAAAGGCTGATCACTGGCCTGCCATTAAAGGCTTGCCCTCCTGCTCCCTGCCAAAGGCCAGGGCTTACTGCCTGAAGGGACGCCCAAAATGTCCACAGTTAGCCCCCCTCCCCCCCACCACTGCACCCTGACACTGTACTGTGAGACTTCATAGGCTGAATTCTCTTTAGGACACTAAAATGGCAGGACGTTGCATCATACGAGAGGCAGGAGGGTCCTGCACAATACAACTTGCAAGTACGTTAAGAGTAAGATCTTGAGCCTGGGAGGGAGGGGTTATGTTGCCTATTACTCACAGATGAAGTGTGCACATCCTGTGTAACAAGCATGTATGTATACGTGTGCGCTTGCTAGCAGTGTGCTAGGTTACTCTGTCCTTCAGGGACCCTGTTCTCTCTGCATCCATGTCAATCTGAAACAGAATGATTTGGACTCTTGACTGAAAGGGAACGTTGGTCCCATTTCAGTACATGGTGATGTTTGCCTACAAAGGCAAAAACACATCAGCATCCTCCTACTTAAAGAAACATCTCCCCCCACACTGCACCAGGCTCCCCCCGATCCTCCAGCACCGGTCGACAGGTCCCACCATCTCTCAAGGCGCAAGGAAGACATGCACCTACACTCTTCTCTGTTTGGAATGAACTTCCCCTAGATGTCCGAACAGCTGAGTTAATGAAGGCCACGCCCACTGTGAGGACAACACCCCCATTCATGAAGGCAATATCCCCCATGGACACTCCCCAAAGACGACCACACCCCATGTATAGGCCACACCCCCCATGAAGGCCATATCGCCCATGGACACTCCCCAAAGACGACCACGCCCCATGTATAGGCCACACCCCCAATGAAGGCCAAGCCCCCCCCGTTCACCTTATCATCCAGCTGCTTGTACATGTTCCTGACGTCTTCCTCATACTTGCTCTTCTCCTCGACGGACAGTAGGCTGATGGGCGGGGCCAAGTTGTCGATGATGGGAGTGTTGTCACAGGGCTCCAGGTTCTTCTGGTCCTTGGCACTCAGCTGCTCGTCCTCAGGTACGGCCTCGCCTGTGGAAGGCGGGGAACACGCGTTAGGTCCCGAGGCTGCACCCTAAACCTTCGGCTTTTAGATCCATCTTCTTGCTGGGACTGTGAGGGTTAAAGTTACATGGTTAAAGTTTCTCACACAAACAGCTCCAACTATAGGATTCATCATGTTCACTCACATGTAGGAGGACCAGACACAGTGGATCCTCTTAAATGTCATCCTAAATGTTAAAGTTACGCCCCAATCGTTAACACTTGGCATCTTCCTTACACATAATATTTGACCATGTTACAGAGTGAGCAATAAAAAATTATTTCATTATATAATCCATTTGAAAAGGCATTATAAATCCTGCCGTGTAAACACTAATAACCTGACAGTCATTTGTAACACTTGGCAGGAGACTCTGGCATCGACGTTCTCGCGTGACGTAGATGTGTGGCGTGGGACGGCAGTGATGCAGCATGCGGATCCATCTGAACAGCCTGATTGGCAGCACCGGTGGAAATGCCCCTAGGTAAGAGGGTGGTGGGGGGGCGGCGGAGTGCAAGGATGCAAGCAGGCAAAAGCCAACTACTGAATCTGGTTGTAGCATGGATCCTTCAGGTCACAATTCCTTAGACTCTGATATCCCACACAGGATGAGTCATAACATCTTAGCTCCCTAAGCGGGATGCGATCCCTAGCTTCGCCGCTCTCTGGGCACCAATGGGGCATGATCCCCAGGCCCAGACGGGACGTGATCCCTAGCCTCGCCGTTCCCCGGGCCTAGATGGGACACGATAACCGGGTTTTCTGCTCCCCGGGCCCCAATGGGACACAATCCAGGCCCTAGAGGGACGCAATCCCCAGACTTGCTGTTCATCAGGCTCCAATGGGACGTGATCCCCAGGGTCGCTGTTCCTCAGGCTCCGAGGTGATGCAATCTCCAGGTTTGCCCATTCCTCAGGCCCTGATAGGACGTGTTCCCCGGGCTCAATGTTCCTCAGGTTCTGAAGGCACAAGGTCCTTGGGCCCAAGGTTCCTCAGGCTCCAATGGGACCCAATCCCCGGGTTTGCCTGTTCCCCAGGCCACAATGGGATGCGATCCCCAGGCTCACCATTCCTCCAGCGGCTCAGCTCCATCTCGAGCCGCTGCACCATGAGTTTCAGGCTCCGGGTCTTGTCCTTCTCCTTCTCGTACTTCCTCTTCCACTCCTCAGCCGTCAGCTCCAGGTTCACCGACACTGTGTTCTTGATCGTCTTGGCACTGCGGAGAGAGACAGGTAGATGAGGTGACAGAAGTGGCAGCGGACAGATAGTAGGGGTGAAGCGGGGCAAAAAATAAGGCCGAAAGGTAGAACAAATGAAGATGAAAGAAATGAAGTGTATTGCGTATATTCTACGGGACACTGACTGAAAGGTTCCTGGATGCTTTTCGCAGGAATCCCTGTTTTTTAGATTTCATTACCGCTAAAAGCTCACAGGCATAACGCTAGGGGCTAAAAAGTTAAGTCAAAGCATAAAGCACCAGTTTGTTCAGATCTGGTATACCTCTCCTCAGGGGGGGGACAGAGGATGGATGGGTATGCAAAGTGGCAGTGGGGGGTGGGGGCTGCATCAGGAGACCGTGCGCGCACACACACGTGTCACCAAGAATATGTGGCGGGGGAGGGGGGGGTCACATGACCAGTGGCTCACCGCTGGCCGAACATGAGCGTGGACTTGGTCTCAGCCTCGTTGAAGACGGACGGCGAGCAGCAGATGATGATGGTGGTCCGGCAGTTTCCACCCAGGGAGTCCTGCAGGATGCGCGTCATCTTGCTGTCCCTGTACGGGACGTGCGTTTTCTGTCACACGGAAACATAAGAGGGTGTTAATGACCACCGGGCCAGACGGGGACGGCATGATCTGTGGCGGCCAGCTTGAGGCGCCACTGGGTTGCCGTGCCGAAGCCGACAGCAGGATGGGAGGTGCGGGGCCCCACTTACGGTTCCCTCGGCCAGGGCGGAGATGACGTTCCCCAAAGCCGACAGCGATTTGTTGATATTTTTTGCCTCGTCCAAAACTGCTCCTTCTGCTCCGGTTTTGCTCACCTTAAAGCGACCAACAGGGGCTGTGAGGATGGAGCGTGAGGGACTTGGGTTCAAGAGGGCTAAGAGCAAACCCTGACCTTCTCGCTGCCCGCGAGGTCCACCAAGTACAGCTTCCCTGACAGCTTCTTCTCAGTCTCCACGTTCTCCTGCTTGATGTTGATCAGGAAAATGCTGTGACTGCGGGAGCTGTGCTCATTCATGTCTGCGAGACGGGGGGGTGGGGGCAGGGGAGGCACGGGGGGGGGGGTGAACCTCAAGACCAGCACTCGTATTAAAATGCACCATAATTCATTACTTCCGTTACATCTTCAGCCCCCTTGATATCCTTTCCACACTTACTTGACTCAGGAATGATCTCTCAGTCCATGTTATCCAGCGACAATCCTATGACGCTGAATTCAGTAATGAACCTGTCATTTTGCCGGACACACACGGGATGAAACACCTACTTGTGACAGCAACGTGCCGGTTGGCTTTGCCTTCATCGATGACATCCATCACCTCCTCCGGGCTGGACACAAAGCGCTCTGTACAGCCCTGTCAGGAGTGTGTAGATCAGAGTGATTTACTGGCCACAGCCGGCACAACATCGCACAAACCCTCCGAGGTGCGAGGGTGCAAGCAGGGACAACGGTCTCGCCTCGACTTGCCTTGACGTAGGGCACTCTGTTTTTATCCTCATGAACAGCCAGGTTGGTCTTCGAAACTTTGAAACACAATGATGCGGTCAGTTTCTCACAGCTACTGCCAGTAACATTAATACTCCAAGTGTAAAAATACAGTAAATGACCATTCAGAGGGTGCGGGGATGTCACTCCTGCTTACCATCTAATAGGTCTCGTATTTTGTCCAGGTAGATTTCAAAGTAGGAGACCTACGGAGAGAGAGGAGGATCCTGTTAAGCCCCAGGAAAAACATTACGATATCATGAATAAAAGATGCTCTTACAGTCAATGGCCGCACAAAGGAGAGTGCATTAGCGAAATCACCGATAATTAACTAAACTGCTTCACAAGCAGCTTCGCTACAGGCCTGAATCGGTCTACAGGACAGGATCCTGAAGAACTCCAGGCTCTGATCAAACCCAGGAGGTCCATTTTGGCAAAGTGTTTTCTGCTGCATGCCGTGTCCCACCTCAGGCTCCTGACCACATGCATTTAAGATAAAGCAGATAAAAGCCCTCTTCTCCACCGAGATGCAAGCAAACGGCGCAACTACAGTACTCCCAGGTTGGATCTGCAACTCGAAAGGGGCTATCAGCTATTAACCGAGCGGGCCTGAAGTGCCACAGGGCAAACAACAGCCAGGAGGTGCTGAGGACCTACAGAGCTGCCTTCAGAGGGGCAGTAACCATGAACATCAGCTAACAACAGCCGAGTGCAAATGGCCGGTCAGACCCACACAGACAGAGGCCTGCTTTACTGAGAGCAGCACAGCTGAAACTATGGAATGATTCAAACCGGGCCTACAAGAGTATAAAATGTGGATTTAAATCAGGTGGCATTCGGCGCATTAACAGAAAACAAAGCACAATTAAGAGTCAGACTGGAGTGTAAACAAAACGTACTGAGGTTTGGCAAGCTGGGACATATTCACGAAGAGTGAGTATGATTCAGAAGAAGATGGTGCCATAATAAAGGTGTTTCAAGCTTTACATTGATTCATTTTGCTGACACACTTATCCAAAGTAATATATATTTTGAGAAACTAAGGTCAGCCAGTCTCTGGAGCAACTGGGGGTTAAGGGCCTCAGTCAGGGGCCCCATGGTGAAACCACTGTCGAGTCTGGGATTTGATCCAGCAGCCTTCCGATCCCAGGCAGTGTCCTAATCCACTGAGAATGAAGCATCCCCAGTGTAACGACATTCCCAAAGCACGAAGCTTTCAGATGCAAAGGGCATCAACAGACCCTTTTCTTTGAAAATATGAATCAGGTCATATGACACGGTAGCCGGGATCCGGGTTTGAGCGGCTCCTTGCTCACCTTGATGTGGAACTCCAGGTTCTCATCCATGGAGTAGATATGGTCAAAGATGTCATGTGCGATGCGGGGGATGATGCCCATCAGCTGGTGGTCGTGGAGCTTGCCCTGGTGGGGGGGGGGGGGGGGTTGCAGGTGAGGGCGGCGGTTAGAGTAACACACACACATGCAGCAGTCAACATGCTAAGGGGTGAGGTTAACCTTTATTGGCTATCCACAATTCCACATATATGTTAGAGAAGTTCAAATGGCACCGGATCTTCAGTCAAACATCTCATGCTCATTACACCCCCAGAGGCTGCATGCATGTATGCATCTCTGTCACCCACTGCACTCAAACCTCAGTGACAATGACACTACATGAAGCAGCCTTTACGCTGCCCTGCAGGGACCGTGGGGTCTGATTCATTCCCTCATCGCTGCTACCATAGCGTTGCTCCGGCCATCTTGAATGGAGGAGAAATTCCATTTCTCTCTAAGCATGCTGGGAGATCTCAGTGAGGCTCTGGCACAAACCGTCTCTGACTCCGCCGCAATCTGGTGTAGCAGCCTGTCGCACGGCTAAAATCCGCCACAGATCATCATCTGAGTCACCACAAGCGGGACACAAATTTGGGAATATCACGTTTCCGTTTAACCTGAGGGACACTGATGTCAGGGTAGGAGAGGGAAACATCTCCTGCCTCGCAAAGTACTGCTGAGTAATTGTGAGTATTGAGTACTCTGTTCTTCAGACTGGTAACACAGCACAGAGGGAATCGTACCCACATCCCCAAAACCTCCAGGAGTCTTCTGAGTCTTGTAAGATCACATCGCAAAGCTGGACACACTTGTATTCTAATTAAGCCTGGTTTAGTTATGCTATTAACACACCTAGACCCATCTATTATGAGAGGAGTTGCCACTTCAGTTACCGTGACCCAGACTCAGACTCCTGCATGGTTTCCCCTGCTGAGAAAGAGGACAGGAGAGCGGCTGCAGCCTTACCTCCATGGTGTGGGTCTTCCCCGATGACGTCTGGCCGTAGGCAAAAATGGTGCCATTATATCCTCCAAGCACATCTGCAGGAACAAGCTCACATGTGGGTCCATCACATATTCAAGCACAAAAAAGGTGCAGGATACCGTTTCCCAATCCAGTCCTCAGGGACCCGCAGACAGTTCATGTTTTTGCTCCCTCCCAGTTCCCAGTGAGGAGCAAAAATGTGGACTGTCTGACAGGGAGCTGAGAGGGAACAAAAATGTGGACTGTCTGCGAGTTCCCAAGGACTGGGTTGGGAAACACTGGTCTAAAACAATCCCACATTTATTTTAAATTTCTAGCACTTATCTATGGCCCAGCAATGTCATGCAAGTGAACCCTTAGTGTGTCTTAAAATAAATCTGCATCATCACAAGAGTGCAGGTCACAGCCGCTATTAAAATGACTTTGAGGTTTAAGGCTGCAGCCCCAGGAGAAGTTACACTGTACCAGTAAAAACGAAGCTTTGGATAGAAGCATTAAGAAAATAAATCAGAAGTACAGTAATAGATATTATTATAGTAACAGACAGCTTGACAGGCCAAGCCGTCTAGAAGGTTCCACAGGCAAGTGGCAGCAGGCACATACCTTTCACTATCTGCTTGGCACAGGTGTCGTAGACCTGATCCTGGGAGCTGTTTGGTGGCAGCACCCGGTCAAAGACGTATGGCTTGCCCTGTCGGTCAGATGGAGGAAGTGGGCAATGGTCAAAAAAACAAACAGGTCCATGCGAGCGGAGATGGGGGGGGGAGCCGGGACAGAGCAGCAGGGCACCCAAATGCAAGTACTCAAGGGCACCAGGTTACCAAAGACAAACATCTGTGGAGGACAGGAGGAAGGCAGAATACCCAAAGGAAACATGCGCGCCGGGCCTCAACCCAAAACCTGACCGGAACTCCATACCATAAACGAAATAGACAATGTACCGTCATGCGAACACGTAGGCCACTACTGGTGCACTTGGGGGAGGGGGGACTTTCACACACTGCCCTTGTGGTTCCATCCACTGCGCGTCTCTCCTGATGTCACTCTCAGAGCCGCGGGTCCAAGAGGGGTCTATGGAGGATCACTTGTGCGACAGGACCCCAGGGAATCACAGTGTTCACCAGTCAACACGAAGTGTGACATAACACAACACTCTTCTGGTCATGGGGGCGAGACTCTCAGCCGTGCAGGAGTAACGGAACACCAAGCCAGCTGAAGTCACACAAACTTACCCACACACCCTCAGACAGACAACACGAGCTTGATGACTAGTATAAACACACATCCACCCTTCCAGGCGGAACTGACCTAATCAAATAAGAACAAAATATCACACAAAATCAGTTTCTTAATGACTCACAGCACATTGAGTTACTGGTGCGCTGTATTCACCACAACCTCATTTTACTGGTGAGATTTAACTGGTCATTGCAGAGTTAATGTGGCCCGAGTTGAAGGAAACCAAAGGCCAAACGGAACCATAAAACATGATTACAGCATCAGAAGGCACAGACCCGCTTACTCAGCAAGGACACCAGCCTCGACCAAAAGGGCCCCATCGTGCCAAAAAGCAGCCATTCAATGGCATCTGATTATTTCTGTAGACTGAAAGGCACGTAACCCAAATGCCAATATGGTCCGCGTGCCCATGCCCAACTGTAATAGCGATTAAAGCGATCTATTCTTTTAGTATTTATGTTAAAGCAAGACTTTTATTTTATTACTGTTGTGGGATTAATCTTTGGAAACACTTAAATTTAATAAGCACAAAAACATATGACATAAACAGGACTGTATTGTGGGTTTTATGACTTTTTTGGAGGTCACCGACTCCGCTGCTGTGAGAATTACTGACTGTCTCATTGTTGTTTTGATGGGTTAGCGGTATGCTAATGCTATTGCCTATTAACAAAAACCAAAGGTATGATACGCTGAAGTATATTGCAGCTGGTGTTTAAAAGGAGCTCGCCGGTTCTATTGATGATAGGACCTTTCTGAAACAATCTCGGACCATGAAATAGGAAGGCAATTCACTTATAGCTCAGTAGCGGAATCAGTATTTTTCCGCACTGCGAATGTAACATTTTCCTTGGGTCTCACGTGCTTGCTGTTTGTCGGCCTACGCCTTCTTGGGCCACTTCTGATTGGTGAGAATGACTGTCACACAGGGAGCACAGCCTGAATTTGTAAAACTGTTCTCACAGCAGTTTTAAACCCTGGGTCCGACATGCTGTATAATGTATATCCTAAATCGCGATTTTTGCGACTTGCTAATCGCGTTGTTTCAAACCGCGATTTCGATTTGATGTCAACCGGACCCAATAATTTAACCGACTTCAGAGAAGGTGTCCCTCAACTTTCTTGGTTTTCAGCCAATGCATAGATGAGGATCAATTATTAAGCAGCACTAAGGGCCGTCGATACTGACAGAATGCTGCGGCATAAATTATGCACATGGATTAACCCGCGATGAACAGAGCGTCACATGAATCCGTCACCAGGTCCCGCAACTGTGAAGCCGCCTGCCTTTCCCATCAAGCCGAGAGACTGTTCAGCTTCATAATATCCTGTCCTACGAAAACCGTTCATTAAATTCGGGGCAGATTTAACAGCTAGCGTCAAATCACAATATACCCTGGGGGATGTTTGCATTTTAATATCGACAATATTAGATTTAGCATCTCATATTGACATTATGTTTGTATCCATCTCAAAAAATGTAAATATCATAACAGTGGTCAGTATGGGCCTCACAACAGCAAACATCTCAATCCACCAATGGGGTGCATTTAAGCTCTCTGGATTTCAGCTACAATGCCCAGTGATTATCATTTCCCTCGTTAAGTGGTCGGCACAGACACAAGCGCGCACGCGCACTCAGACACACACAGACACGCTGTGCTGCAGCTGCCCAGTCACAGGCCCCGCTGCACCTCTCCCTCGGGGACAGATGCACACCCTTTCATGGGGACAAATGTGCGTCCTTCGGCTGAGGCTAAAGGCGGCTGATTCAGCAGCTCTGCCGCACAGATATGAATCAGGCCTGACAATGCGGCCCATGGGGCTGCGGTACTGTCCGTCTCACTTTCACTCGCCACCCACCCCCCGCCCGCAGATGATACAGGACACAGCACACACAGGCTAGCTTCATGGTGTAAGGGGGAGGGGCTGGTGGGATTTAGGCCCTGAGAGGAGCTTCGATGGAGAGGGTCTGACTGGAGCCCCTCCCGGCACTGGTCCAGAAGCCAGGCCGCCAAAGTCAGCTGGAGCTGCCCCTGCCCCGCTTACCGTCGGGAGTCAGCAGTTTATCTCTTGGCACTGTCCGTGTTGCATTTCCTGACTTTTTGGTGCCAGGGGGCCATTCTAGGCTGGGCCGGGACCTGCTCAGCCCAAAGCCTGCGGATGCATTTGGCAGCCTGGGATTTCAGGCTCATACCGGGTCGATAGCGACCTCGACCGCACCACACCCAGCATCCCAGCGGTCAGTTCCCCGCCCCCTCCCCGACCGGAGCAGAAGCGAAACAAAGTCATGGTGACATGGCAGAATGCACGACCAGAATCACGTAAACACAGCATGGAAGTCCGAGGCATTAGCTGGTCAAGGCGACAGCATGTGGACAGGCCAGACAGACAGAGGCTGTGTTCACCAGCACTCATACCACACATGTGTGGGATGCCCCGAGGTTTGGGGACAAACAACCTCCTCACTGAGTGGGGGAACCTGAAGCAACTTTCTAAACGGGACCCCAGAAACAACAAACCCAACCCTGCAGATGACAGCCCATGTTAAAGGAGTCTTCAACACAACAACACGAAGCATTGGGATGCTGAGTCAGCATGGGGGCTGCGGGCCCCTTGCCTGAAGCCGCCCATCTTCAGATGCTTGTTAGAGCCTCTCAGTAGAGAAGTAGCAGCCTGCCCATGGTGTCTGGAGCACAGAGTGTAAAGCACTCAGTCCCAGAATGCCTTGGGCTCTACCAATAACAGGCATATCAGCAGTCTGTGGCATAGACATAAAAGCATGGCACTGCTACCCAGGGTCTCTCAAATCTCACATAATAACAACAATAATTCCAGTCACATGATTATGAACAGAGTCTGCACCACAGCCCAGATCCATATGTTAACTAGTGATCATGAAGACAGGCACTGATTTAAAGATGACTAAATATCCCAGCAGAAAAGACAAAGATAAATGGGGAAATCATAAATATTCTTAACTTGGGGTCCTGCCAAGCAAATTACAATACAATTGTCACTAATAACTTCGGGATGCACTTGCGTGCAAACAGGTGGTTCTGGGTGATATACAGACCGCCTGGATGTGCACAGCGTTTCACATCAGTGCTACATGGGGAGGCAACTGGATAAGATGGCCCATCTCTGAGTTAATGCAGCCGCATTACACGTTAATGAAGTGCAAGATAAGACAGGTTAAGTCTTACTTAAATGTTACCGAAGCATCTTAGAACCAACACGAGTTACTGAGAATAACATCGGGGTTATTAAAAACCTTCCCAGAACAGGCACCTTACTGCGACACCTCAATAGACTCCGGAAAACGTGAAATTCTGCTCCCCCGGCTTCTGTCTGGCCGGATATTTTTATGCAATGGGCCCAAGGTTTACGAACATTGTTTACAAGCAACGCGGACTCTGACAGCCGCTTTCACAATGACCGCAGATTACTGTCATTATTACGCCCAAGCAACACCGGCCTTCGCTGCTCTTTAACATTGATTGCGGGAGCCCAGTGTCCCTGCAGCAGAGCCGGTCTTCCTCACTCCACGGCTGGCAAAACAGCTTCACTTTCCGAAGAAGTATTTTAACACGCCCGACTGGCCCCACTCATAAGTTTAATTTATTTTTTGCTTTAATTTGCCAGATCGAAAAGTCTAAAATTGCAGTTAAAACACACGACGCTGTATATCACGACTGACACACATTTAACGAGGAATAACCGAATGTGCTTTATTTCGGAGGACCGACGAAGGATATTACCACCTCGGAAAGTCCGCAGGACCGACGCTGGGCATCACCGACCCGGGGCGCCCGCAGGACCCGCCGCGCGTCAGTGCGCATTTGGCCCATGGAGAGCCGCGGCGGCTCCAGTTCAAGTCATCTGCTTTGTCTTAATTAATAATGCCGTCCACAAGTATACAGCATCATGCGTTAAGGCCGCTTACCGTTATCACCACCGTGTCGTCGCCCTTGAATTTCGGAATATATTTGTCTCCTCTTGTGATCTCAGCTTCATTCAGTGGCCTGAATCGACACATCACTTTGACGCCGCACTCGGCTACGTCCGCCATCTCTATCTGCGCCCACGGCCGAAAAAAAATCACCAGGTAAAAATTCTCCAAACAGATTCAGAAAACTGTAGGCTTCCGAAAGCTGGCAGATTACCGCAGGCGCACCATTGCACTTCGCAGGAAAATCAGCTGCAGCCGCCCATTGCAATTATCCACAAAAATCAGCACTGCTGCATGCACGCCTTTCCTAAAAACCATGCGTTTTACGGATAAAATGTAGCAAAAAGGCGTCAAATGTTGCAGAGTGTTAATAACTGTTTATGCCGAGCAGAAGGGCGACGAGCAGTCCAGAGTTTAAAATCCGCATCCTCCTGCGCGCTCCAGTATCCCGCATCAGCACCCAGCAGTCCCTCCCCGGCCGGCTCTACCTAAAGCGTCTCCCAAGGACTCGGGATCATGCAGTATGACATCACACTGCGATGAACACCGACGCATTGTGGGCTTTGTAGTTTCGACACCTACACATGCAGTACAGGTCCGTCGTCGACTTACGACTGATCGACTTCACGACTCTTTCGAGAGCGCAGACATGTGGTCGCGACTGCGCTGCGTCTGGCAGCGCGAGTGTATGGCAGTCTCTGCTCCAAAAGCCGGCAGCAATGAAGTAAGAAAATGGCGATGAAAAGGTTAGAAAAACACCAAACAACATGACTTAAAGATGATATAATTTTATTATACTGTATACTATACATATGATAAGGGATGCATATATCTGGTACACAAGTACGCATTCGCAATTTAAAGCGATACGCGCCTCATTTCTTTCCAATTTCTTTTCGTAGCAGCGCAAATGCGTATTTATGGGGATTCGTTCTATTACATGAAATGATCGTGCATTTTAACCGTAATGTAGCTAATTTGTACTTCAGGCGGTCATATGCATAGCATACTGTATAATAAAATTATATCATCTTTAAGTTATATTGTTTGGTGTTTTTAACCTTTTTATCGCCATTTTATCACAGTGCAAAAATAATTAAACTGCAGTGTAAGTATTCCTACATACTATCACATATAATCAACTTGAGGGAACATTTTTCGGGGGAAACTCAATTTTATAAAAGTCTGTGAATACAACCAAACAACTAAAACTTCCAAAAGGCTTGTATTTTGTTCGGTTACTTATGGTTATGGTTGGGTAATGTTAAGGTTGTCATAGTTGGAATTAGGGTTATGCTCATAGAAATGAATGGAGACTCCCTATAAAGATATAAATACCGAATCTGTGTGTGTGTTCATGTGTTATGGTGTGGATGTTATTTAAAAAGCATGTGCATGTTATTTAAAAAGAATACCAAAACATTGGAATAAATAGAAATAGCTTGAACATTGTAAGGCCAGAATCAGCAGTCCAGCACCTTAATTAATCTTTGTGTCTGTGTGGGCACGTTTCCTTTACACACAGCCTCTACATCTCTTATCTTCAGGTATTCGCTGTTCTTCTGCACAATATACATGGAACCAGGCTGCTCAATGGCTGCAGATAGCCCAGTCATCAGTGGCTTTGGGATCAGCCGAGCATTTTGCACAAGGATATTCATTGTTTTTTTGTAATCTTTTGTTAACTTTCTTCCTACAGTTTTTCATTTTTGAATCTGTGTATTCAAACTACTGTTAATCTGCTAAGATGAAAGTTGGAGCTTTTGGCCCTATTCTACTCTCTCATGCTCTTACCTCTCGCTTTGTGGTCCACCATCAGATACCTCACCGTGTTTCAGCCAGATAAAGCAGATTATACCCAGACACGGTGAAGTGTGAGTGCAGTAGTGCAATCACACATTCCTTTCGGAGCAGCAGTCTACACTATTTGATGCTGCTAAAATAATACATGGTTGCACTACTTTGGCTCACCGTTGGTTCACCTTGTGTGTGTGTGTGTGTGTGTGTGGGGCTATCCTGGAATCTAAGGGAACATGGCAAGGAACAACCCAAGAGAGAGCGCCAAACCATCGCAGGAACCCTAGAATTATTTATTAGTAGATTGCTACTCAATTAGTCCCCAGAGAGGAGATTATTTACATTGTAGGTAAGGAACTGAGGGCAGCGTGGAGAGTGGTGAAGCCTTTGGAGCCCAGGTACGTCAGCCTTGGTGCTCAGAAATTGAATGGCGGCTGTGGTGCATTCGTGCAGGGTCCCATGGAAAGAACCAGACAGCTGGAGCTACCTGGCAGCTGGTAGTCTGTCTCTGGCTTCAGAGTGAATGTCCACACTGCTGGACAGGCCAGAGTCCATCTCTCTCCTTACCTTGGTGTGGGAGTCATCTGGAAAGTTCAAAGGAGAGCCAGATTGACTGTCTTCAGCTGCCCATAATAGTTAATTATTCATTTTTAATAAAAATAGCCAAACACATTTACCTCCCATACAACGTAACTACTACAGTGCTGCAGTGAGCTTATAGCCTATCACAGGAAGCAGGTGGCACAGGGCAGGGGAACTCTCTGGGTGGGACACCTGACCATCGCAGGGCACTTCCCCCTACACTCTGGTCATTTAGAGACACCACTTTATTACTAAATGTATACTTTATACTTTAACACACACTATATGGATAAAGCTATTGATACACACCTCTTAATCACTGAGTTCAGGTCTTTCATTCAGACCCATTGTCATAGGTGTATAAAATCAAGCACCTAGCCAAGCAGTCAGTTTTATAAATATTTGTGAATGAATGGGTCATTCTGAATAGCTCAGAGAATTCAGACGCAGTACTGTCATAGGAGGCCACCTTTGCAGTAAGTCAGTTCATGAAATTTCTTCCCTGTTAGATATTCCCTAGTTAGCTGTAAGTGATATTTTTGCAAAGTGGAAGCATTTGGGAACAGAAACTCAGCCACAAAGTGGCACACCATGTAAAGTAACAGAGCAGAGTTGCTGAGTGCTGAGGCACATAGTGTGTGAAAACAAAAAGCGGATGCAGTGGTGTAAAGTACGCCGCCACTGGACACTGGAGCAGTGAAAACGTGTTCTGTAAAGTGATGAATTACAATTCTCAGTCTGGCAGTCTGATGGACCAGTCTGGGTTTGGCGATAGCCAGGAGAACGTTACCAGCCTGACTGCATTGTGCCAACTGTAATGTTTGGTTGAGGAGGGATAATGGTATAGGGCTGTTTTTCAGGGGTTGGGCTGAGCCCCTTGGTTCTAGTGAAGGACGATTCTATGATTCCAGCTTTGTGGGAACAGTTTGGGGAAAGTCCTTTTCTGTTCTAGCATGACTGTGCCCCAGTACACAAAACAAGCTCCGTAACCTCCTGAGACCCGACCTATTCATTTATGTCCATTGTAGTGGACATTGTATTTTTGCATTTATTTTTTCACTGATGTTGGGAAACGTATTTATTCTTGTTGTGCACTAAAGAGGACATGCTGTGAAATTAAAATAAGAATAAATTTGAAAAAATCTAAATTGTAAGATGTCTTATTTCCTCCAAAGACAAATAACCTACAATTGAAGGACACTTTTTTTCCTTGGGTCTCAGGAGAATAAAGACAGGATTGGGATTGGAGTTTGGTGTGGAAGAACTTGACTGGCCTGAACAGAGTACTGACCTCAAACCTATCAAACACCTTTAGGATGAATTAGAATGGAGATTGCAAGCCAGGCCTTCCCGTCCAACATGCTTTACCTCATAAATGCTCTTCTGGATGAATGGGCAAAAATTCCCACACACTCCAAAATCTTGTGGAAAGCCTCCCCAGAAGAGTGACAATGGTTATTGCTGCAAAGGGGGCACCAACTCCACACTGACGTCCATGGATTTACAATGAATGTCATAAAATGTCCGGTAGGTGTAATGGCCAGGGGTCACAATACTTTTGTGCATACAGTGTACACACACACACACACACACACACACACACACACACACACACAAAATGTACTCATTCAAATTAAATGTAACCCAGATTAGGAATATGGGTAAGAGCAAACATTTAAATTAATTTAATTACATAAAAATTCTCATGTTATCTTACGGTCTTCAGGGGCTCTGTACTGTCCAGAAATCCTACAGCTGAAACATTTTCATATGCAGTATGTATTTTATAACAAGCTGGATAAATGGACCTAGTTTATTGGTGATTTTGATGTTCATCAAAGTTTATGTTTTTTAACAACTGTATGAAGTAATGTTTTTTTACAAATCAAATGAGGTGAAACCATTAGAAGTGCACATTTTCAGGTTGCGAAACTCTCCCGCATCTGGCGTGAGATGCTTTCAGAGACACGCCAGGCCGGAAATCCTATGGCAAATCTACATTATTCCATTTCAAACCTTTTGGGATGTTCCTCGGAGTCAATTTCTGTACCTTAAAATGTACAATTACAAAGATACAGCCCCAGGGACAACCGAAGGTACAAATTTTTACCCTTTTCCTCAGAGTGTAAAGACAGGCTGACGATCCCTGGTGCCGGCGTATTGATCGGTGATTTACCCATTAACATTTTTTCCCCACATCGGAACACAACACACGAATGTAGAGGGTCGTAAAACAATGAAAATATATCGTTTGCATTTGCAACCAAACCCTCTGGAATACTGCTAGCAGACCAGGGGTGGGAATGCCCAAGCTAGAAGACTCACAAAATAAGTTTCACCACCTCAACATTGGTGGCCTTCCTATACAGCCTAACACGGTGGTTAGAAATCTTGGTCTTCTAGTTGATTCATATCTATGTTTTGATGCTCACATAAGAAGTATTATTAGAACTGCATTTTTATCATCTACGGAACATAGCCAAGCTTCGGAAGATGGTCTCCCTTCATAATGCAGAAAAATTAATACATGCCTTTGTAACTTCCAGACTGGACTACTGTAATGCCCTCCTTTCTGGTTGCCCGTCTGGTTCCTTACATTCAGCTGGTACAGAATGCAGAAGCCAGAGTTCTCACAAACACTAAAAAATTTGATCCCAATACACCTGTCTTATCCTCCCTTCACTGGTTTCCAGTTAAGTCTCGGATTGACTATAAAATACTGCTACTGTATTAACCTATAAACCACTGAATGGCCTTGAAAAGAATACCTTAGTGATCTGCTGACCTCATACAACCCTCCGCGCTTGCTTTGTTCTCAAGGCGCGATATCTGTTAGTACCTAGGGTAGAAAGAGCTACGGCAGGCTGCAGAGCATTCTCCTATAGAGCTCCTCAGCTGTGGAATGGTCTTCCACCGGATGTGCGGGTTTCAGGCTCACTTTCAATATTCAAGTCTAGACTAAAAACACACCTGTTTAGTTTAGCTTATATAGGGACACTAGTTCTAGCTCTAGCTAACTGCTCACCCCCAGTTAGACCTATAGTGTGGGATGTAGAGCTTGGTGGGGATCGGTGCCATTGGCTTTGGATAAACTGAACTGTCAGTGCTGTCACTCTAGCTTCACACTCCCTTGTGGAATTAGAGTGCTGACATTTCAGGGACTCCCCATGCCTGCGTTCCCACCTTCCTCTCCCTCCT